CCCGTTGTCTCGGGGCCCATTGTCGGCACTATAGGGCCACCCTTCCTCCCTTAACCCGCGGGGCGGTGTGGGGTGGGGGGGGGGGGGGGGGGGGGGGGGGGGGGGGGCAGGGTTCTCGGTAACACTTCATTTATGATTATCTCCCTGCTCCATAAAATAGCTTGACAGACAGCTGGACAGATAGCATATGGGCCTGTGGGTTAAGGGAGGAAGGGTGGCCTTATAGTGCAGACAATGGGCTGGGAGTCAGACAGCTCTGGTTCTTTTCCTGGCTCTGTTACAAACTAGCTCTGTGACCTCGTCCAAGTCACATAACCTCTCTGTGCCGAGGCTCCCATTAGTAAAGTGGATGTGAGAATATTCCCCTCCTTTCCGGTGGCACAGTGAGACTGGTGTTTCTAAGGCACTTGGAGAGCCTCCTCTAGAAGGTGCAAAAAAATTGCAAAGTATCATTAAGAGAAGAAGACAGTGAGTAACTGCCAGCGCTACCCAATATATTAACTTTGGCGACACTTGTGCACTTTGTCATACCAGTAAAGTCATTAACACTGAAGATAATCACACATTCAGAGCTGCTAAAGGTAGGATCACAGGCCCAGGTCTTCAAAGATCAATGGGAGTTAGGTGTTAAACACTTTTGAGACTCTTGACCATAGTGCTCTAGGAAGGGGCTCTCACTAACTGGGGACTGGGCACCTGGAAACCTGGATTCTATTCTCAACTCTGCCACTGACTTGCTGTCAGACCTTGGCCAATCACTTACCCCTCTCCTGGCCTCAGTTTCTCCATCTGTAAAATGGGGATAAGGATACTGCCTTCCTTTAAGGCACTTTGAGAGCTATGTGTGAAAAGCTGTGCATAAGAGCTAAGCCTGATTATTATTAATCACTCTGTTGTTACCTTCACCACTGTAGTGTCTGAGCACCTGCAATGTACGCTAAGCGCCTGTGACAACACGCAGGGATTCTGTCGTTCTGTGTTTTGGCCACACTTGTACAGCCAGCCAACAAAACCAGTTTGAATTGCACTGAGAGTCAGTGAAAGCCTAAGAATTCCCAGTGAGGAAGCAGCTCATGCTACACTGGAGTGTCCAGATTCCGGTGGGGTGCATCAGCCCAGGTTTCTTTCCTGACCCCAATTCAATGCTCCCCTAGCATTTTCTCACTGTCCATTCACACTGCTCTGCTCCCTTTCCCTCCTGCACCAGTGTCAATCTTTCAATTACTCCAGAACCTCTGATGTCCTTCTCTCTCTTCCCCCCCACCATGTGCTCCTGCCTGAGGCAGGGTGAGAATGCAGGGATTTAATTAGCTCCCAATGCCCCCGGGAGGGGAGCAAGCCAGCTTCCAAACTCTGTGTCCCACATCAAAGTCAGAGGGGGAGGTGTGAACACACCAGGGCTAAGCAGAGCCTACTGGGCAGCCATTCTCTGAGAGAACAAGACCTGTCCCACCCACTGCAAAGCCAGGGCCAGAGTTTATTCTCTGAATGGGAGGTTAATCAAGCAATTTCCTTCCCTCTTCCCTCATCCTGCCTTTGGCTCTCCTGATAGTCACCCATCCTCGGGGGGGGGGGGGGTGTTTTCAGGAGAAACCTTTGTGAATATAATGGAATGTCAATTAGGGGGTGATATTGTGTGGCATTTTTATACTAGTAAAAGTCTTTTCTACAAGACCTACATGCAGTTAGTCCAGAAAAGAGTGGGTTTGCTGGGTTAGCTTATTTCACTGTGGACCTAGTAGAAGCTGTGCTGGCAAAAGCACAATTGTGCCAGTAGAAGTTACACCTCCATTAGGAGGGTTTGCTGGTGTAGCTACCCTGGCAAACTTTTTCTATCTGGCTTTGGTTCTTCTGTGCCCTCCATATCTATCTACCGGTACTTATCTGGCCCCATCACTGCAGTGATCTGAGTGCCTCAGCATCATAATGTATTTCTCCTCACAACCCCCCCGATGAGGTAGGGACTATAGATGAGGCCTGAGTGAAGCAGCGATTGTGGGGAGCACAGAGGGGGGAGAACCCACTACAGCAGGGGCAGCCCAGTTTCTGATGCACTGACTCCTCACGCCACGTGACACTAGTGCCAGGATCCCTTTCTCTATCACAGTCAAGCTGTGTTCAGCCACACGCTGGGCTTGTTTTTAGTGTGGCAGGTTGACTCTAGGCTTGGAAACGTCAGCTAAAATCTCCCATTGGTGCTAACTCTGGGGCAGTTCCATGCTAGCAATGGTGGGAGCCCTACTGTAGACAGGGCTGCAAGCCTCTGTCCGTGTTTTAAGCCCTATGGATATACCTACACTGCAAAGAAAAATGCCCAGTGCCAAGTCTCAGAGCCTGGATCAATTGACTTGGGCTTGCGGGCTCAGGCTATGGGGTTAAAAATAGCTGTGCAGATATTCCGGTTTTGAGGGAGCATGAAGGGGAGGAAAATATCAGTGAATGTGGTGGGGTGGGGGACAGAAGAGTCATGCAAATTGTGACATGCATGAATGTGCTTGACATGTAGCAACCGTTGTGTGTGAGTCTGCCCGTGAGCATGTAGAAAATTAAATCCCATTCTTGGGTGAGCAGGATAGTGAAAATGTCTTATGTGATGTCACAGAAATGACACGCATGCCTGTCTAGCTCTCACCTTTGCCATCAGTGGCCAAGCTGAACCAGGGGATGCAATGGTGGGAAATTTAAGCAGAAACTTTCTATTGTACAGGAGGCCTGTGAAAGAGAAACTTTAAACGCATATAAAGGGTGATCTTGCCCACTCTAAGATCTACTTCTACAGGAAACCGTTGATGGCTAGATTGGCCGGCAGTTCAGGACAGGTGATTTGGTTTATTTTACATTTCAGACAAGTTGGAATGACCAGAACCATGGAATTGTGCATGTAGCTAATCTACGTAACCACTGGATCTTACCTTCTTCATCCTCAATCTCCCTCCCCACTCCCCAGCTTTTGTTTAGCATGTTCATCTTGTTTCACTCTAGGTTTAATTTCTTCCATGCAGGAGCCATGTCTGTCTGTGTACAAACATACAGCACCTAGCGCTATGGGACCCTGAGCCTGATGGAGGCTTTTGGGAGCTACCTCAATACAGGCAATATATAATAGTGATAACAGTGACCTGACAAAACAGTGCAACAGGGCATGAAAAATAGGGCTGTGGTTCAGTGATACTTCATAGACTTTATGCTCAGTGCATATTAACCAATGTCCTGTCATTCCTGCTACTGCGGCTGCCTAGGATCCCCACTGCATTCCCTGTTACTTCAAGGTCCCTGGGGCTGCTGTCCAGAACCAACAGAACATTTTCTGTTACTCTGAGGTTCCTGGACAGTGTCAGAGGTGGCAGATGAAGCTGGGAGGGGAGACTGGATGAAAAAAAAGCCAACAAAAGGGACTGCCAAGTTGAAAAGGACAAAAAATCCATTGGAATCAAATGTTCCAGCTTCTAAAAGAAGAGTATGAACAACGGGCCAAATTCTACTCTTGGTTATACCAGTGCAGATCTACAGTAACTCCACTAGCTTAATGGAGTTATTCTGGATTTACATCCATACAGCTGAGATCAGCATCTGGTATAAGTAGAAATGAAATGGGAGAGAGAGAAATCTCAGTCCTCGGAGATAGATTCTTCCACCCCACCTCCTAATAACCATATAACAAGACATCTTGACTTTGTATCATTCCACTAGGAAATTGCAACATCCCCCTGTTATGGCTTGAAGATGTGCTGATGTGCTATTGGCTTTGAAGATGCAGCAAGAGGCGATTAAACGCTCAATGGCCCTGTCAAAACTGGGACTGTCTTAAGAAATAGCAGGACAAGCAACCATGCCACATCCTCAGCTCTGGAAAGACGGCCCTGCCCTGGGGAGCTGATGTTTGCTTCTGCCAAACTTGGGCACTTTCCTCTTAAAAGGAGTTTTAGGAAAACAGAGATGCCAGCTGTGATAAATGAGACGGGGGATAGCTCCCTTTTGTGGACACCCAGCCAGCCAGTTGGCTATGGAATCCTTCTTGGTGGTTGTTCTCTGCTTGCTTTACCTGTAAAGGGTTAACAAAGTCCCCCAGGTAAAGGAAAGGGAGTTGGTACCTGACCAGAAGAGCCAATGGGAAGGCTAGAACTTTTTGAAATGGGGAAAAAAACTTCCCCTTTGTCTCTGTTGTGGTTCTCTGGGAAAGAGGGGAACAGGGAGCAGTTATGCTATGAGAAGCTTCAAGCCAGGTATGATCATAAATCATCAGATCATACCTAGAACTACTTATTTGGAACCCCCAATGTGTAAGTAGATCAGAAATGTTTAGAAAGACACGGTTAGGTTTATTTCTGTTTATTTCTTATGGCTAGTGGACTCGTCTATACTAACCCCAGATGCTTTTTGTTTTGTTTGTAACCTTTAAGCTGGACCTCAAGAAGGTTATTCTTGATGTTTAAATTTTGTAAGTGGGGTTTTTAAATCTAGCAAAAGCCTAAATTCCAGATGTATTTTCTTCCTTTTTGTTTTTAATAAAATTTACCTTTTT